AAGTGACTATGCAACAACACTGTTTTAGATGTGCTAATTGCTTCCCCCTTCTATACTCCTTTTTTTGTGTGTGGTCAGTTGTGTGCTGTCTTTATAGGTAATTCGGACCGTCATAGACGCGTTCTAGTCTCAAAAAACATTAACAATTGGGAGATTATGATACTAAGTAAGCTTATACCAGACCCAAACAAAAGGCACCGTGCACAGTATCATACATACTGCGTGGGCTGGGGTATCGCATATCACTCACCACAGCCCGGTACAGGCTCAACAGATAACAGGGTGAGCGGAACGTTAGAGGGGGGATAGGGTGCAGTAGTAGGGATAGGAAACAACGTGGGTAAGAAGGGTATAGACATATCTGGATGATGTAAGTAACTGTCAAGTGGAAGTCACACAACAGAATGCACCATCTCAACGTGACCAAATCGACGCTAGGTTTCTCATGACTCAGCTCTGGGCGAGGGCATCGTGTGAAGATATGTCGAGTTTCACGGTCCTTAGAGATGACGTATCAGTACGAGGTTTTCGTTCCCGCTGTAGCGTGAATTCTTTTTTGGTTTGTTGTTAGGCGGTGAGATGTTTTTTTATTTTTTTTTTTTTTTTTTGCACGACCTTATCGACGGTGTCTTCTTCAAGCATCTCTATGTTAGCTATCAGCTACCAGCCTTTTAACAGGTTTGGTCGGATATGCATTTCGCTTTATAAATCCCGTTGAGCTGACAGCCATTGTTATGCGTAACACTTCGAAATTATAGCATTTCTACTGCTTTTTTATCACTGTTTATGAATGTTTCTTACATAACTGAGAGAATTGAGTGGTGAGCAAAAACACGGCGTCAAGCGGGATTCGAACCTGCGTTTTCATCCGATCCAGGGACGCGCGCTTTATACCACTACACCACCGAGGCACATTTGCCCGACCACTCATTCATTCCGCCCCTCATTAACCAAATTAGCTTTACAAAACGCTCAACACGGCTGATATGAAGTGAGGACTGCGTAGCTCAGTGTTGTCAAATCTAAATCCGCACACACCGAAGTTGGCATCTCCGGTCCCCGTGTGGATCAAAATTCTACTGTATACCGCCGCGCGCCGGGTGTAGCTCGCTTTCGGCGCGCGTTTATTGAATGTTTTTCAAATCGCGTAGAGCGGTCGCTTCCCGTCATTTCGCGTGAGCGTCCGTCCTGTGTGGTTGCGTCTCTCGGTCTCCGCAGTCGCGGTTGTTCCTCTTCCTTCTTTGTTTCTTCTCTTTTTTTTTCTTCTTCTTCTTCCTCTTCATTCTTTCTTTTCCTTTTCTCTTCTCCTCTCTTCCTTGGTTTGTCATTCATTACACATTGACCTCGCACTCTTTAATTATAAGGTCCCTCATTTTGAGGGTCCGCTTGTCAGTTTCTTGCCATTATATCGCATCTCTTCGCTTTCATTTTTGTCTCTACAATCTTTCAGCCTTTTTCTCTCTAATGTTGGTTTCTCTCCTGCCTGAGAGTTTTTTCCTGCTTTTTTCTTGGAAGTTCTACTGAATGGTGCTCGAGCAGGATTTCCCCGAACATTGAGATTTTTCTTCAAAGAGGAGTGCCGGCGCAGCGACCACGTGGATTGGAGTAAACTTGTCGCAGACAAGTCGTCTACTAGTAGTTCAAATTTCCCGCCAACCATCGGCACGTGACGCGTGGCGCTTCTCCTACCTGCCGTGGGATCGAGCCAGCCAGCGCGTGAGTAGGATGCCTCTTCGTGCGTAATGATCGCGATCTCTGCCACTGCGCCACCTACTCCATTGTCCTAGTGCAGCTCCTAATTCTTTCCAACCCGCGACTCCCGAAGACTCGCCTCCGCATTGAGTAATCCCTGAGAGATGCGTCATGCATTCGCCTTCAATTTATAGTTTCGTTTAAGATTTATTGAATGCATATCAGGTCTTTATAATGGCTCGCGATGGCCTCCTGCTGTCTCAAGTTAGTGCTGCTTATCCTCCCCAGACAAATCTGAGACCAGTCCTCTATCGATTTTCGGAAGGATGGATGACCTGGTGAACCTTGAGTGCAAGATCCAACCATCGACCTTGTGCACAGCGCAGAGAACTAACTCTGACCATTGCGCTAGATGCGCTCTTCATGGCATATGAATAAATTATCTTTCATCGTCTAAAGGGTGATAGCAGAACGAATGTGCACGTAGCGCAGTGAGTAGCGCGCCGCCCGGACAGACTGAGGCGCGGGTTCAGCTCCCGTTTGCGGTTCAAGGTTGCGCACGAACCAGTCAACATTAGTGGGTATGCAGTTTTAAGATCGTACCACTGCTAAAAGAAACGGTTAAATGAGGAAATTTCAATGATTTTATTCGATCAGCTACCTTTTCGATAGTTTCTTCGCCGCCTCCTGCTCTCGAAGATCCAAAGGTTGTCCATCTTTTCTGGCCTCTCTCCTCCTATCTTGATCTGCCTTTCGCCAAGCTAATCGAATGACTATATATAACATAGTAGTGAGAGGGCGCGTATGGCGCAGTGGTTGGCGGTGCCCTAGGACACACACGTGGTCGGTGTTTCAGTTCAATGTCACACCCATAGGTCAAAATGTCTTATATCCCTACGAGACTGGTGCTAAGTAGCAGACTTGGCTGAGAAGATAGCGGTTCCAACTTGATACATTGATATACCACCCTGGGACATTGTGAGGGGCCAATTCGGGCATTCAATAACTTCTGTTTATGCTACGAATCGAATTGAATGCACTTTTCAAGAGTCGGTTACTCCCAGAGCTTCAGCCGTCATTTTCACAGTGGTGGAAGATTCTGGAGCTCATCCAAATGAGAGTGTACTCTGTAGTGTACACGTCTTATTAAGCGGCTCCACAAGCCAAAAGGGACCTCTGGCGGAATGTTTCAATTGAAATGGGACCATCCAAATATGTTGATGTTAGCGAGAAGATTGGGGCGTCCACTTATTTTGCCAACGCCGAAATTTGCAATTTTCCAATGCTTTTACAGATCCCAGTTCCATCTTTTTCTCTTAGTCTTCTGGTTACAGTTCCGCATTAACACATTCCGATCAATGGCGTCTTCAATGGGTGGTGGAGATGTTAGCAGGAGAATGAGTAAGTGTTCGATTCTTTTATTCCATCTTATTTCGGTCCCTTTTTCTCCAACTTGATGCCTACCTTTTGGTTACAGAGAAAAAGGATATCCTACATGAATCCAAAGAGAAGCTGGCGGCTCTATCAGTAAGTCTCTTTAGCTCATTCCTTTAAGCAGTTTCAAGCATTGCTTTTTTGAATGCCGGCCGTAATTTCACGTTGAGAGCCCACTCTGAGGGCCTTATTGACCTTTAGGCTTTGTTGATTTTATTGTTTTACATTATAGAAGACTTAATTACAGTTGAAGCCCGAAAAAACCTATTATGGCTGCGAATGTCGCACCTGGAACGCTGGGCTCTGCGTTCCCTATTCAGACCAATATCTTTGGTGTGAAATTAGAGTGGCCTGTTTCTATTTGGAGATACGACGTCTCGATTTACGCGTCGGTCAAAGGAAAGAAGCCGGTGTACTTCACGAAGAAAAGCCGTGACGAGTTCGTTTCCTTCCATTCTAATTTACAGTCAAGCAACTTTTGGACGCTTCAAACGCCGTTCATAGCAGAGTGGGTGTGCGTCTCCCTTTTGGGACCATGCGGTGCGTTTTGCACCGGGCCGCGATACGTCATATTTGACTCAGCTGCTGTAATGACGGCATCGCGTCTCTTAGAAGGCAGCAGTCAGTTTGCCCATGCATGGATGCAGATGCCACTGCTTGGACTGTCGCGCAAGCGAGGCTCAACGCCGCCTGCTTATCAACGATTTCCTCAAGGGGATACCTGAGCTGTGAGCGCTTCGGAGCTCGTCGTTGGCTTAAGATTTCAATATAAATAACTAGGGTTACGTTTTGATACGATTTGAGCGCTAGTTTTATGATTTGTATAGGAGTTATAACGCCTAACCCTTTGAGGACCATATGGTACGTTTCGTGCCAAATCGCGCGACGTTAAATCTTGCTCATCTACTGAGATGGTGGTCTTACGTCTCGTGGGAAAGCAGGCAGGCAGCCAGACATGCGACACAGACCTGCAGATGTCACCTGTCTGTCAATGGTGGTGCCCAGAGGGTTGAAAGTGTGGCGTGTGTGCGCAGATTACTGGGATATGTGAGAGTATCGTGGGTTGGATGCGGCCTGTTTGCTTGACCGATTCTGCACACTCTATCTGCCACGTCGGTGATCCTAAATTCAAAATGATGAAAGTTAACCTTGGAAAAAAGGCACGTGTGGCGCAGTGCTTAGAAGAGGATTTCATTTTTATGATTGACTGGGAACGCTGGTCGAGACGATTTTGCTCGCAATCTCGCAGGGAGCCAATTTGAGGCGTTTCGTCACGCTCTGTTAGATCAATGATCTTTCCGCTCTGTGCTTAGAAATCCTCCCATTAACTCTTTGATGACGGCGCGCATTCCACGCAATGAACGCCCGTGATTTTTTGCTGGACAGCTATGACGATAGACTCTGGTAGTCATTTGGTAGCTTTAGTAAAGGGAAAATTGAATCCTGTGCTCGTTTCTAGATAAGCCTTCGTAGTGCAGTGTAACAACGAGAAGAAGTTTCTTTTCACCTCCAGTGTGGCTTGTGAACTCGAGCTAGGGTCTATAATTGACTCAGTAGTGGATTTATATTACCTATTCAATAGCTCAAATCTCGGCAACTCTGAAATTGATTTTACTTTTTTTGGAGAGGTTTTCAAATAGCGCTGTAAGAGGGAGTAAAAGTTACGTTGCACACTTTGGTTATATGTATACAGAAGAGTTCTATATGCGCCATAAATAAGCGAACATGTATAAGAAATCGTGGAGTATCAAAGTAACTTGATCCGGAATTTTTCTCAAAACCGAATAAGAAGGACCGTAATTCTTAGCGAAAATCACATGGCGCATGTGTCACTCCTGCACTCAGCGATTTCCTCCCCCCTCTGACGGGATAAGTACAGCAGAGACTTGTTAGCACTCCCTGTGTATCTTGTAGGTACCTTTCACGAGCAGTGGTCTTTCGTCGAGATACTAGAAACTTTTTTTTGTAGTCTATCAAATGTCGAACATAAACTCGCGGAAAGGAAGGGGATGGCTTAAATGGTGCTTGGTGCGGGATCGATCCCCTTCAAATGCCAGATACGGATAGTCTGATAAAGTTTAGTGGAGAGTGAAAGCTCTTTCGGGCTATGTCGGGGCAAATATCTATGCTATAAGGTGATTAACTGAAGAATTACTGAATCATACGTGATTTGTACGATTAACTCTTTCCGGAACCGCGTACCCCCCTCCCCTTCATCTCTAACCCTCTGGGTGGGAACGCGTTGAACATATTATTGTATTATTTCGTTATTGTTTTTGTTTCCTTAAGTTACAATGTACATAAATTTACTATTTTGTTATAAGTAGGAAGTGACAATAATACAATCAAAATAATACAATAGTACATCCAAAGGGTTCCCATGCTGGGAGTAAGAGATACGGAGGAGATGGACTGTGGGATTCCCAAAGACTTTATTGTCATGAGGGAAACGCTTCGTTCATAAGAGAGTTATCTCCTAATTATTGTTAAATTATTCTTTTCAGTTTTCTTATTTATTGATTCAGTTTCGTCGTCATGAATCGGAACTATAAATGTAAGGTGATATTTGACGCCGTATTGAAGGCGTATGAGGATTTCTTCGGCGACCCGAATGCCTTCTACTATGACGGCCAGAGCGTACTCTTCGCGAGAGCGGATTTGTTCAGAGATGGCGATTGGGTATTGTTATTTCTTAATTTCTACGACTTGGTTATATAATTCGATCCTTATTAAATTTGTTTTAGTTGGAGAAGCAAACTCGAAGGTTACTGAGTATTTATCTTGA